GCTCGGATAACTCGAACCAGCCTTCTAACGTGGGGAAATTGAGGCACGGGAGCGGGTCCCAACCACCTAGAGGCACAGAGTTGCAGCCGGGACTGGGATTCCCGGCTTGCCTCCTGTGCGGTGCTCTCCCTCCGAGCTCGTCCCGGGCAGCGGTCGCAGCCCCTCGCCGATCCCCCTGCACCAGGTTCCTCAGGCGCCGCACCGGTGACATTGGGGCCACATGGTTTTCGGTTGTGAGGGCTGCCCTGGGCACCCTGGGGTGTTGAGCAGCACCCCTAGATGCCACCAGGTGCCGGGAGCATCCCTTCGTTTTGACAAGCAAGCCAGACACCTCCCCGGTGGAGACCACTGCCCCTACAGTCGATCTCTAAGAATGGGCCACGGAGACCCGTTAGAAACAGGTTGAATCTCCGTGTTTGCTGCTCAGTTCTTCCAGGCTCCGCGCCGGCTTAGGGTAAAGGACAGCCTTTTGTACCTCTCAGTGGCACGTGGAGCCCTCAACTACCACAGGGACGTGAGGTGTACGCTTCCTTTGCCTGGAGTGCTCCTACCAGGCTAGCTTGTTACCCGTGTTAAAGCACAGACCTCAACTGAGGGAGTTTTAACGATCTGTTGGCTTTCTTCAACAATCCGTGAGTCAGGCAGCGACCCATCTAGCAGATGGAAGGGAGCGGAGAGGCTGTACCAAACAGAAGGTTTTTTTGTAGGCGGGAGGGTGCAGGAACAGACAGAGTGGATTGTTTCAGGGGAGGTCACCTTCCTTTGGGGGATGGCTGGGGGTCCACCGGGAAGATGGTCTCACTTGGTGCTGGCCGGGAAATTCCAGACTGACTGGTTGGAGTTATGTTCCTGGGAGAGCCGAAAGTGTCTCCGTGTGGTGGTGTCCACTTGGCACAGGTGACTCCGTTTTCGGTCTGTTTAACTCCAGGTTAACCTCAGAGTCCTTTTCCTGCTCTCAGCTCAAGGTTCTTGCTCCGGGAAGCCTTCCCTGAGTCTCCTCCCCAGGTCATGCCC